AAAATGGAAACAAAGTCTTTGTAAATAGGGAGGGGTGGAGGGGTTGAAGGGAGGGCAGGGGAAGGGGGAAAAAATAAGAACCAAGATGGATTACGTAGAGGTACAAATTTCCAATGATGAATGTCATCACACCGCATACCTAAAATGTATGAATAAAATTAATAATAATAATAAAAAGAAATTTTAAAAAGCCAGACTTCTTAGTATGCTAGGCAGGGCCTTGAGGGAGTGCAGAGAGGGGAGCTCTTTGTACTCTGGGAACAGTCTGAGAAGTGTTCCCAAGGAGTCACTTAAGCTGGGGTTTTGAAGGTGCAATAGGAGCTGGTTATGCCTTGAGGGAAGCGCATTTCCGGAAGAGGAAATGGAAGGTAGCATCTCAGAGTTGCAGGGGATCGTGGGCTCTTCTGGGAATGCTGAGAAGCTGTTGGGGCTGGGACTGGGGAGTGGACTCGTGTGGATGTGGGCAATGACTGAAGTGCTTAGCATGATGAGAACAGGCATTTAGATTTCATAAAGAAGCCGACTCCAAACAAGCATGGATTTTGCACTTTTGAGTACAGCAAGATCTACAGTAGGGCTTTTACCAACATCTACTAGAAGATTCTAGTCGTTCACCAAACAACCCAGGAGTAGCTGCCATGTGCCAAGCATTCTATTCTGTGTTGGAGCAAAGAGATGAGCAGCAAGCTAGCCAGATATTACAATGCCCCAAATCGAGCAGAAAAATGTAAGTAATGATCGGTGAGAGAAATACTACTGTTTTAAAGATGATCAACACTTGGCTGCTGAGTTCCCACACTTGCAATAAGTGATGTGGATGGGCTGGCTCCAAGCTGAAGTCAGGCCATGGCTGGGAGGTGTGTCTGTGTGAACGAGGTGGGATCACAGTTACCCCACATTCAAGCTTGTGAGAAAAGTGCTCCCCCCAAAACGGTGAGTGATGTAGAGTCCCAGGCAATATAAAGGGTGCCTGTGTTCACAACTCACAGCAATGCCCTGCAGTTAAGAGCTGTGAGCCCCACACTGCTGACTGGGAGTCAGCATGAATTTCAGAGTGCCCCAAGGTTCACATGCTGGAGGGCTGGTGTCCAGCGTGGTGGCACTGGGAGGTGGTCAGCCCTTTGCAGGAGGCTCTGGGAGGTCCTTGGGGCAAGTGCAGGTGCCCGCAGGAGGGGCTGAGGGATTTCTTGCAAGGGAGTTGTTGTAAAAATCAGGGCCTGGCTCCCCAGCCTCAGAGTGGGATGTCCTCCTCCCATACTTGTCCTGTCACAGGGTCAGAGAGCCCAGTGGGCACTCACCAGAGCTAAGTGATCCAAACACCAGGCCCTTAAGCCCCCAAGACTGTGAGCTATGTGAACCTCTTTTTTGTATAAAGTTTGCCTGCCTCGGGTATTTCCTTACAGTGACAGAAAACAGACAAATGCACAGGAGGACTCAAACATTCAGGCTGCAGCTGCAGTTCTGGGGAAGACAGACTTCTGAGCACAGAGAAAGGGGATTCTCTGGAAGAGGCGCTGTTGGCTCACTTGACAGGGTCGTTCTTTGAAAGATCATTTGTCACTTGCAGGTACTGTGGAGGTGAGAGTTGTCATCTGCAGATGATTTCCTCTCTGGCTCCTCCTGTTTCTCCCTTGCGCTCAGAATGTTAGTAGAGCGCAGGGTCTAAGTTGCACACTTTATGGAGTCTGTGGTCTGTGGCAGAGCCAGCAAAGGCAGGCGCTCTGGAGTTTCCTACCCTGTTCACCTCAGTGAGGCCTTCACTGAGCAGTGGTGGAGAAGCCGGTCACCGAGGGGAGGAGAAGACACTGACCTGCAGCGAGGAGTTAAAGTCACTTTAAAAAGAGACCTAAAGAAACCTCAAACGAGACCTCCCCTTTCTGGAGGTTTTCAACATTTTCCTAATGAAATAACCTCGTCCTGCGTGGACGAAGTGATTTACACCTGGCCCCAGCAGGAGGCCACAGCCACCTCATGAGCCAGGGCCTCCTTAAGGACTTTTCTGTCTTTGCCCGAAGAAGGAGGCGAGGATGGAGAGGAGGGCCTTCATCACGTGGGGGCCTGAAGCTCCTCTGAAGCAGCGAACCCGAGGCCGAGGTGCCGGGCAAAGGGCACCTAGAGAGCATTTCCTAGAGCCCTCGCTCTCAGGCCGTTCTCCGCTTGCTTCTCCCGCCGGCCTTCTGGGTAGTGGCGTGATTGGGAACAGCCAGCGCTGCGCTAGGAGGAAGGCGGGGACCCCTGCCCGTCCCTCCGCCTGTCCCAGGGCTGGGTGTGCCCAGCTTCGGTGCTTGCTTTCTGGGCTGGCTCAGGAGAACCCCCGGCCTCCTCCGTCCTGAGACGCGCACTGGGCTGCCGGGCAGAGAGACCCTCGGGATCTTAGGCTTGCTGGTGTCATCCGGGTCTCCTCCTCCCGCGGGCGTGGAGCCAGACCCTCCCCACCTTTCGTTCCTTCCTCCTTCCCCTCAGCAGCCCATCCCCACTTCCAGACACGGAGCCTTTCCCGCTGAACCTCTCCCTCCGCTCGCTCACCTCTCTCCCCGGCCGACTTCACTTTCCCTTCCTCTGGGCGCCCCTTCCACTCTGCCCATGCCGGTTACTGCAGCAAGAAACAAACG